TTCCAGCCCTCTGATATTTCCATTCGATCAGCCTCCCGACGTTTCCAGACTCTTCGCTACCTGAAGCTTTGAACCAAAGTGTCAATTCCACACTTCCCCAAGCGCACGGCCACAATTGACCAGGAAATCTTAATCGGATCCTGTGCCGTCGGGTTCTATAAAAGCCCGCCTTTCCTCGGTGGCGACACTTACCCACTTTCTCTGACGTCCCCAAACCGTGATAACATAATGCTTATGTACCCACGTAAGGGTCTCATCACCGATCCATACAACTCAGAGGACATCATCATACAAGACGACCAGTACCCACCTGATTTTTATCCCGAGAACGCCTTTCACTACACTCAATCTCGCTTGCAATCACCTTTCCAGTGCCAACCCGGTGTACAGCTCTCCCCACCGTCTTCCACACCCTCCTCACCTACTTTCTCCTCTCCGACCTTCTCGACTTCTTACCCGCAGACGTCTGACTCTCAGTCTTTCGGGGCTCCTTCGATGACCCCAGCGTCTTCATATAACCCGTCGTACGACATCCAGGGTTCCAATTCGCCTTCTCACTACGTGCCTCAATATCCTCAGCAATATTATACGCCCATGTTGGTACAGCAGCCTCTCGCCAGTAATCAGGGTTGGGATAGCAACCTGCAGTTGTTGAGCCCTGCGCGCATCCCATACCCCGGTGTGCAAAAGAGATCTTCGCCCTCGGCATCCTCGCGCTCACTCCCCTCAGGGGTGCCAGCCAACAACTACCACCGCCGCTCCAACAGCTCCAACAAGCCGCTCCCCAGCCCGGTGCAAACTCCTCTTCAGAACTCATTCCTTGCGACTCCCTTCCAACATTTCGATCCCTCGTCCCAAGATGGTCACAACGCCGAGGCTGAGTCTGCTATGAGAAAGGCAATCATGGACCAGCAGAAGCAGTCACCTCCGCAGCAAATGCAGAACGACTACTCGCTGGCTCCATCGGTGTCAACGATGAGCCATAACTCGCCGGTGACCCCGCAAACTACTCTCGACGAACTCGACGACGCATCCAAGTCGATGACCAATGGTGAGAATGGAATTCCTGACATTGACTGGGGAATGGACCAATACTTACGTTTCGACGCACCTCCAGAATACACCGGTGCCAATAATGCCATGTCAATTGGAGTCCCTAAGCTGAACAGAACCATTTCCGATATATACCAAGACGAATTATATAACCCTGCCATCATGGCAGCGCCCCAGGTTTCTAAGCCGATGGGACAGAACCACCTCAACCCGCGCAATTTCATTGCCGATCGTCTCCAAGCTGCCAACCAGGGACACATGTCTGCTCGTTCGCTATCGCCTTCCAACAGACGGGATCGCTCGCCTTTCCGTACCTCTTCTCCATTCGCCGGTGACATGAGCAACAACGCTCTCCAGCAGCCTCAGATGGCTACCAGCATCCCCTTGGGACAGAACGCTATGAACGGCATGAATGGAATGAACATGGATCAGAACGCCAACACTGGAGATATTAAGACTATGTCACCCAAGGATGCAGTCTTGGATTTCCAAGATGGCGATGATACTATGCCTTTGTTCCCTCCCGGCCAGGGTGATTTCAACCTAGGTGATGCTCTTGGCTTGCGACGCGATAATGGTTCAATGCGACCGATGGAAGCATTCCCTCAATATACGGCTCCCAGCATGGCCCAGCCACAATTCGCATTCTCTGAACCCCAGATGCATCGCCCTCAAAGCAATCTCTTGCAGCAGAGTACCGAATTCCCTTCGCTTCCGGCTGTGGAATCTACCGAGAGCTCGCCTCCAAGCCAGATGAACATGCCAATTACAGAGGGTATTCCCCGTCCCGCCAACACATCTTCGGATGCGGGTACCTACACTTGCACCTACCACAACTGCTCGTACCGTTTCGACTCCCCCTCCAGACTCCAGCGACACAAGCGCGAGGCCCACCGGCAAACAACACCGGGCGGCCACCTTGTCAGCCGCGACACCTCGCTCCGCAACTCCCAGGCTGGCCCTCACAAGTGCGAACGCATCAACCCATCTACAGGCAAAGCATGCAATTCCATCTTCTCCCGGCCTTACGATCTTACGCGACACGAGCATACTATCCACACCGCCGGGAAACAGAAGGTGCGCTGTCACATCTGTAACGAGGACAAGACCTTCAGCCGAAACGATGCTCTGACAAGACGTAAGTTTCTTCTTTTACCCCTTCAGTTGATCATACACTAATTACATTAATTACAGACATGCGAGTGGTTCATCCTGAAATCGACTGGCCAGGCAAGCAGCGCAGGAGGAGAGACTGAGAGCGCCTTTTACGTCATCAGTCCACCGGATCGGCATGCCGAACGTCATAGGTGGACCCACTTGGGGTCCACCAAAAATCCGGGGCTTCGTCATCATGACGTAGTTCCCTAATCCTCATGAACTCTCTGTATCACTATTCGGATTCCGATTTTTATTTATGTGTACGATTTTACGTTGATGATTTGATTTACATGCGAATCCCCTTTTAGCATTGGCTGGTGTGTTTTTTGGTTTTTTTTCTAATGGCTTTGGCTCCGGGGAAACAGTTTCGGTGTTGTACATTTCTGTTGTACATGGTGTTGCTGCATTTTTGACCCCCCGTACAGTGTGTCCGCCCTCTTGTACTATAGTACATTCCTCTCAAAAAAATGTATATTAGCTATGGATATGACAATTCATTTGGAAATAATCAATCACTCTCTCCACACTCCACTATAAATCTGGAAACAGTGAAACATAACCCCTCTACTGAAACAATCAAGGGTCGAGGGATACACTTGAATCCCTCGCATCCACACTTGCATGGATATTTACCCACCTAGGTCAGCCAAGTTGGCTGCTCAGTGCAGATCTGGTAGATTTACTATGTATAGCAAGATCATAAGTACATGTACAAATGTATGTACATCGTAGACGAATTAAGAGTTGACAAAAATACTCCAGTATGCAGCACGCGCAAGGTTATTTTATATTGCATATTGCAATAAATTAATTAACATCCACGGACGAGTCCCGATTCGTGCTGATCGTACATTGTACTCCGTACCCAATCTCAATTACCTGTTAATTGGACTATCTACATTGCAAGTATTCCATGCCTCGATATAGGTATGATAGCATGATTGCGTAAACCAAGAAAACCTTAGAACAAATCCGACCTCATCCAAACTCTGGTCTGATAAGCAATGTAGCTATCCTGGTACCCGGTACTGGCATTGTTTGGGTGGAATGTGGGAATCTGGTTTGGGTTTCTGGGTGTCGACGTAATATACAATATAGCAGGATCCTAAGTCGGATTTCAGGATTTTGTCCATGTCTATGTCCAGTGGAATTGCTCGTTTAGGTATATGGTTTGTACAGGGCTGTACCCCTTAGTTTCCTATTTTCCTATCTTTGACCGGGGTATCTGTTGTCTTTGATTGTCATCAATCAGATCCTATTCGAGTTTCCAAGATTATGTATTTTAAATCCTTATCTACAGTTGAGATATTTAATCTAATTACTACCTTTACAAATAAGCCACATATATACCTACGTGCTTTAAATTGATAGACAATATAGATATGATAGACGGTGATATACAGTGGATCTGTGGCTTAATGTGGACCTTTTAATACCCGTATTGGAGTGGGGATGTCGGAAGGTGGGGAGTGGAACAAAGTGTGGATGTGGCTAGGGTCTGTCATTTGTCCAACGTACGATCAAGTCCCTGATTGTATTCCTTCCACTCTAAGTGGTGTGATGAGTGTCTTCTGTTAATTGGCTCTTACTATTTCCGGTTCTTTGCGATACTTCAATCCCTTGCGTGGTCGCATCGAGGGTGTCATATGAGATGTAACACGTGATGTGGTATGGTCCATACGGTATACCGTTAGATACTCCATACGTTAGAAAAATAATAACACACCAGCCACAGAATACCCCCAATACTAAGATATTATCGCTTCTCGACTGAAAGGTAACTTCAGAGGTAATGTCCTGCATTCCATATCATGCAAGTGTACTCGACCCCTGCAGATTCCGATCGGACGACACAAACGTCCATATCAGTCCACACATAATCGTAAACTGGTCGGCTACAATTATGCAGTCTCATATGAGGTCGATATGGATAGAAAGCCCGTTGATCATCTGTTTCTTGTGTGTAGGTGGAAAACATGTACACTGGAGAGGATAGGGGTCTACTCTAGTAGCCATTCATGATAAATGTGGGCGTCAAAAATATACTAAGCTTCGAAAAACCATGTTGACTTCTCAAGCTTCCACCCTAGCAGTCTTCAATTTACTACGATATTGCTATTCTGCAAAGTCCCCTGCACAGGTTATGGCCGTTTGCTCACCAGTAATAGATTCCATAGTCTCACACCATCCCTCGCTTACAAGTTACGTTGACATCACACAGTTCAGTTCGGTCTTTGGTATCTTCCGACGGCATCAGAGTCTACCTATTCAAGCAACTGTTTTGATGACATTCCTATTGTTGCCTTTGTCCTCATGGCATCTGGTCAAACTGCCTCAACTTCCTGGCCATTGAGTCGACACTATTCTTGTTGTGCGTATCAAACACTGTTTTTTTCATGATCAAGTCGACATCCTCAGTCTCCGTCGCTGCCTTATCTCTGTGGATATTTCAGAGCTCTGACTGCCGTTTTAATTGATTCTCGATCCTGGTGGGTCATTTTCAACATTGACCAACTCTCTTATTGACCTACAAACTCATCTTGTCCGCCATCCTTCCCTTTTTCGACGCCTCGGGTCTTTCTTTGCTTTCCCTATCTTGACTTGAACCACGCAAGCTCATTCTAGTGACCTGAATTATCTAGTCCTCTGCAATCATCGAGACCTTGAAATGTCCGCGGAATACAGAGGCTGCAGGTGCCTGATGGAGGGATACGACCAATGTTTCTGCAAATATTGCAATCGATGCGGGGATTTTGGTCGTACGCCCATTTACTGCAGAGAAAGATATCATGGGGGACGAAGTGGAGGGTATGTAAGGGATTCACGCCCTACAAAATTAATGCCGATCAACGATCTTGATAGCATTGATAATCAGCTCGAAGTATGTATCATATTATTCTAACGCCTTCCTTTATTATCGTGCTTGCTGAAGATACCAAGTCTCAGGATTCACTCAAAGCACCAATGGTCATGGCGCAAGCGGTAACTGCATCGAGAAACGACAGTTCGCCACAGATATCAGCAAGCAGTGGAATTCCAACTCCCATACGACGAAACTGGAGTGAGGTGGCCGGTGATCGAATTGAGACCCTGAATCTAGGACCCGTCGATCGGAGCTCCATCCTGGAGCATCTTATTTCAAATGTGCGGATTGAAATGAGCGAGAGGTACTCTTCGGTGCTCGAGGAGTATGATATTGCTAGAATACTCGAAGACGGCCTGAGTCCAGCCGTGAAAGAAATCTGTGAGCAAGGCAAATTTGATCTTATCAGGCACGTTTGACCTTGAGATTTGAGAAGCAAGTTACTAATGACCCCTTCTAGTCTCTTGGAAATTGGACAAGACCCAGAAACGTTAAAAGAAGCCGGTGTATATCTTCATATTCTATGGAGAGAGGATGAAACCACAAAACGATTCTGGCTTTATGTCGGACAAGCATGTGTGCTGTGTCTCAGAATCCAGAAACACAAAGATCCTAAACATCGTTGGAAGAATATGGGACTACATTACGCGGTGTGGGGCTCTGCCGCGGATATGAAATCAGCTTTTGTCACTCTGGCTATCCTCGATGTCCCATCTTCCACTAAAACGCAGCTAATTCTCAACCTGGCAGAGATGTGGATGTGTCTGGTATTCCAAACGCTGACTTCCCTTCACTTAGACTCCTGGTTGCCGAAAAACACAAACGCCATGTGGTCGGGTAATCATCTCAACGTTGCATTGCCATTATGGCAAGGGTTCACAGATACCCAGGAGAACAAGGCTATCACTTACGCAATTGGCGGCAGATCAACATTTCAGCAATACCTTGCATCTGAGGATTCAGTTATTCGGGCATGGGCGGAGCAAACCAGGGATGCGTTCAACGATATACGAAACTCACCTGACCCGGTGATCAGAAATTACTGGTGGAATCTTCACAAGGAGCGTATCCTTAAGGCGCAGGACACCTGGGGCAAAAAGAAAGCCAGCATGGCTAAGCAGCACCTTGAAAGGGCCAGAGCTCTCGTTACATTGCATTCCGGAAATCATGGAGACCACCAAACCGAGGTCAGAGCTGGCAGTTTCAGGTTCACTGTTTCAAAAACATTTGGGCTTGATCTCCATGACGGCGATGAAGTTATTCTCCAATATCATCTGACCCCGACTCCACACCCACACGCTTACGCTCTTTCTGCTTCGAAAACAGATCCTGCTACCTGCTTGGGGGTTTCTATCCGCGGTCAAGACAGCCAGGGAGGTTTTCATTGCTGGCTAAAAGCGACTGGAGAGTGCAATTCACGAAAAATGAACTCACTTGTGGACATTCTGGAAGGTTATTCTGCAGAGGAAAGTCTGGGGTTCAAGCGACGCTGGTTTGTTACCAAGTCTTTGAGTAGTCTAAACAGTGGTCTTTCGGGGAGAAATAGGTACACTTGATATTACAATACTAGATTTTTCAAAGTTCAGAATAGTTGCGCAAAAGCCAAAGAAGGCTTAGTCGGGGCCAATTTCGATACTTCTCAGTACAAAGTTAATGTAAAATATCCTTTATGTCGTCCCGGCTGCCCTAAGAGATCATATTTGAGGGGTTCGGATCAGTTAGACCAGAGGAACATACAATGACTTGATTGAGACAGGCTGCTATTGAGTATGTATAGCAGGGTAGAACTTTGAATGTGCTGTAGGTGGCCTTCAATTTAGTGGAGTTTATTGGGTTTTCACACTAATGGAAGCAAAAAAATAAAATAAAAAGATAGACATAGCATGTCCTGGTTTCGATCCAGGGTCCTCCGGGTTATGAGCCCGGCGCTCTTCCCCTGAGCTAACATGCTGATTGGTGGAATATTTATCACTTCAGTGCAATATCACTTCCTCGAGGAAAACATATTTTAAGCTAAATAAGTAGCAGGAATAAAATAGTAGGGCGCATACTATAAAATTACTACCCAATGTACACATTAACACTATTTTCTAATGGTGTATTAATAGTGGATGCAAGAGGAGATAAATCTAGAACTAATAAATAGTAAAATCTAGAAATATCGAGTGCATTGAGAGAGCTATATGTTATGGGCTACGGCTAAGTATGTAGAGGTAGAGGTCATGTGATCAGCCAACAGGATAGCTGGATGACTTTTCCACAATGCTCTACTTGTGTAGACTAGCATGTCTAAATCTTATTTTTGTTCTCTTCGTCTTTCTTAACTGAAAATTATTACATTAATGGATGGTATACTTTTTGTAGAATCCAAAAATATTTAATTATAATCCTATATGGAGTTATATATCCTCTAATGGACAGCCTTTCAACATCCCAGCATGTTAGCTCAGGGGAAGAGCGCCGGGCTCATAACCCGGAGGACCCTGGATCGAAACCAGGACATGCTATGTCTATCTTTTTTTATTTTTTTTGCTTCTTTACTTCCAGTAGGTATTTTTTTTATGCCATAATAAATATCAATTCCTCTGGGTTTCCACCCCTGTATTGTAGATGTAGCTACATAGTCGTTCCTGCTTCTTTATCTCTTCTTTTCTATAGCTTTTCAGATGATAAGCAAGCCCCTGCTAAACGATTTGATTTTTATCTAGAGCATGTGCTAGATATATATCACCTACTTATATCCAGACGTGTATATATTTTTAGTATTTGATGGTGAATCGTATCGACAACCCAAAGACTTAAGATTTCCACGGGGAGGAATACTTATGTGATATACTGTCAAGTCACTGAAATCAAGAGATCCAATCTTCTCGGCTGATGATAGTCTTATGTCTCCGACCCCATTACCAACCTGTTCACCTGGGTACTCCCGTTTTGAGTGTATGGAGACATCACTCATTCCCACCAATACCAACGAACTACTCGAATACAACTCAGTTCCTATGATGTGGTACAACTGCCTACTGCCGCAGGCCACCGACTATATACCTCTACCAACAACACTAGACACAGTGTAAGTACTCGATCTATGTGCTTTTGTTGCCATCAGTACAGTACTACACCTCAAACTTCATACACTTGATTTAACTCCCCAAAATTCATCAATGTGGAAAATGTCAACTCATCGCCAACTTGTCGACGATCATACTGGGGGAGGGAGATCCCCAAAGTGGGGGCGGGAATCCCCAAACAGCCGATGTCTCCTATCTGGCATCATATCCATCAAAGAAACATAAAGCCATCCAAACCATGTGCATTTTCCGAGCATAAATACAAAATCTTATCTATATGAGCCTGAATATTTTTGATCAGCGAAATAACCAGCGCCGCAAGGAAAAAGAAAAGAAAAGAAAAAAGGGTCAGCCAACCTGAAACCAACCACCAGTCAACGACCACCCAACCCAACAAACCACCCTATACAGACAAGATGGGCCAAAAAGCATCCGTCCCACAGCCAGGCGCACAAATCCAAGTTATTGGTGCCGGCCTACCACGTACAGGAACCTCATCATTCAGCCAAGCGCTAGAAATCCTCCTGAACGGACCGGTGTACCACTGCGGCACACAAATATCGATAGGCCCACCAACAGAGATAAAAAGCTGGATGCCAATTCTGCAAAATTGGCTCAAAAAAGACGACAGCACAAGCCGGGAAAAAATGCTCACCCTCCTGCGTCACCGCTTGGCCGGCTACGTCGCAATCACCGACTCCCCAGGCTCCGAGCTCGTCCCGGAACTCATGGAGCTGTACCCGGACGCCAAGGTCGTATGCACAACCCGTGACCCCATATTGTGGGAGAAGAGTATGCTTCACGTGCAGAGTTTGACTGGTGTTTGGTTTGCGCGTGCTGTTCTTCTCCCGCTGGACGGGTTGAGACATTTTATCCCGTATGGGTATTTGCTGGCTGCGCTTTGGGAGAGGCTTTATGGTGGTGTTGCTGGTCAGCATGGGAGGGAGACGTATGTGAGCCATGTTGCCTGGCTGAAGGAGGTTGTGCCGGAAGATAGGTTGGTTTTCTTTGATGTTAAGGATGGGTGGGGGCCCCTGTGTGAGGCTCTGGGCGTAGAGGCTCCCGTTGGTGTGCCATTTCCCCGTATCAATGATTCGGAGGCTATTGAGAGGTCTGTGAATCATCATTTCCGGAGGGGCCTTACCCGCTGGGCTTGTATCTTTGCTGGGATTGGTGTTGGGGTGGCTGCTTTTCGCATGTGGAGGTGAGACGAGGCGATATGATCGTATAGTGTGGAAGGATGAGAGATGATCATGTGGGTTATTCTTTGGTTGCAGAGATTCATGTGGAGTTGTGGAGTTGGAAGATTTTGGGTGTTGTCAAACTTCAAAGTTCTAGCGACTCGCATGCCTTGGATGATGTTGGTTTATCTCAGGGCCAGGTGGTGCGTCAGACAGAGACTCACCATGAACAAAATCAGTAGATCGATTTATACAGTCATTTACATAGCAATTTGCACACTACCTAGGTATATTCAATGACACCTACGTCCTTTGGAGTATGTTATACAAGATAAGAAACCGAAATGTATTGCCCCAAATATTATACATAAAAAAATCGATGTACAGCCGCCAAGTCATTAGCATAAACCCGATATCATTGACGAGCCCGCTCGAGCGATGATGAACCACAGCTTGCACGATCATTCCTTTCGAAGGTAGTTTCAATCTCCGTGTGAGTGAAGATTTTGCCTTGGGGGATAATGCGCTCTTCACTGGAGTTGCTAGTCGCGCCAATTTTGGTACCCATGGTCCCATCCTCCTTGCAGTTGATTGTATCCATAGTGATGCAGTTGGGATCCGTGACCTTGGAAAATCCAGATGGATACCGCGGGCCAGTGGTGTTGCTTGACCAGTGGCCATATTTCTTCCCACTGCTGTATTCGCCGATGAAGCGAGGCAGGAAGCGGGAGGCAATCGCCTTGAATGAGGGAATTGAGGCAGCGAAAATGCCAATGTTGGTTTCGATAACTGACCAGTACATGGCACCGCTGATGGCGTAGGTGGAGTCCTTCGAGGTAAGCATGGTAGGGATGTAGGTGATTCGGATGATTGAGGAGACACAGGCGCTGAATGTAGTGTGTTAGCAATCGTCCAAGTGAGAGTGTACCAGGGCATACTTACAAAAGACCAAGACAGAGGATAAAGGCCAGGATAAACTTCTGTTTCTGAGGCATCTGGAGACTGAAGATTACCTTGATGGGCAAGGTATAAGTCAAGAGATCGGTGACAATGTTCAGGGCGGCGTTGCACAGGTAGAAAAGGTTGATGCTGACGCATTTTCCGGGTCCAGTGCCAGTCCAGGCCATGCTAATGGGTTGACATTGGAATGCAGCCACGAGAACGAATGCGGTTGCTTGTGCCGTAATAACCCCCATCATAATCCAGGATAGGCGAGTGAGATAGCGATCTCCGAGGCGAGTATAGAACCACAGGACGGAAGTTTTGACGAATCCGAGTGTTGCGAGATAGAACATTGAGCTTAACCAGACGGCCTGGGAAGAAGTTAGAAATGCAAATCTATACGAGACTGGGATCCGCATCCTTACAAAAGCGTAGTCGACCATCCCGGCTGGGTCGACATCCTCGATGTGCTGTCCAAGTCCATGTTTGACCGCTGTATGATATGAGCTTCTACAAATAGTCATAGGAAGCAAAGCTAGAACATACCGACAAGCGTAACGGCAATAAATGACCACGACAACGCCTAGTTCCATTAGTTATAAGACTTGTTGATGGTAGTGTCAAATTTTCTTACACAAGCACCAATAATGAGGTCTAGAAGATGTCAGTATAGTGTTGGTAAAATAAACCAAGCATAATCCACTTACAGTCATCAGCACCCATTTGACCCAAGACAAAAATGCGTGAAAAGAGACGAAGAGCCAGAACGATGAAGGTCAAAACCCCAAATGCTATAGAGATACCTTCGACCATATGGCCCTGAGAACCATTGCTACCAGCCATGGCGAGGAAGGTAGAAGGATGAAACAGAAAAGAAAAAGAGAGAGAAAGACCGTAAATTGAGGCAAAGGAAAGAATTGATCTCGATGGATGGCATAGACAGTCGTTTCACATGTCCATCTCACGGAGAACGGATGATAAAATGTTCACTTTGTGTATTAACGAAAACATCAAGAGGAATGGCTAAAGGTACCCCGGTCTACAATTTATAACGAGATTTCTCCCAGATGCCCCTGGAGCTAGTGGGAAGAAAATGACTGTGCACATCAGAGATGCGCATCGTGCATGGTTCTAGTAGTCTCCGAGATCCACTGTATACCGCCAAAAAGGCCGTTGACAAAAAAAGAAAACATGGTAAGGATTAGCAAGGCCTTCTATCTTTACTCCGTAGACTAGGTAATAGGCTAACACGAGACAGATGAGACTGTCATAACCGAGAATCTCCACCACTCGAGACATCTGGTGATCTACTCGTGCTAAAATACGCCTGCCGTTTATGGGGAGGGGCGCCAGTCTCACTTTTCCTAGAGTAAAAATAGGAAGAGCTCTGGGGCGGGCTTTCTAGCGCTATGATTTGCCACTCAGGCGCGAAAATGCTGTCTCCAATTGTCAAAGTGCAAATGCTGGACATATCCAATCCCTGTTAAACAAGTCCCGGTTCCAGTTCATTGGACCCTTTGTTCTGGGGACAAGAAAACATTGTGTTTTAGCTCGCCGAAGATATCCACCTGAAGACCGGGGTGGGATTGGCTCGAACAAGGATGGCTAGTAGTCGTGGGTCGCCATATTCGACGTCTCGGAGACGATCATTGTGAAATCCTGACTATTGGAAAGTACTCAACCTTGAAAGATTGGACTATTACTCATAACCCACAAGGAATCAGAGAAAAAGTTAAATATGACTTGATAGAACGAAAGCAAAAAGAGTTCGTAGGTCTCGGAAGATTCCCCGGAAGATCAGATGGAGAGATCTGATTTATCTTTATTTTCATGCTCATTGAGATGTCCGATGGCGATCTTAATATGCTCTAGCTTGAATACTTTGTACGAAGTAAATCGTATACCTAAAGCCCTAAATCCAAACTGACACAAAAAAAAAAGGTAATCGGAGCGACTAGAAAACCAATCGAACATTATTTGGAAGATTTTATGGCGAAATCTGCCAAATATTAAAAATAATATCGAGGGGAAGGGAGCTGAGCGATCTGCGCGTTTCAAGACCCCGAGATATTTTCTGCAAGCGCTCAATGACGGAGTAATGGAGAATGGCTGGCCCCTAATGCACAGATTTGATGCCATTATGTAGCTCACCTTCGATCTGCGCTACTCCATTTGCCTTCCGAGCCGTCCTTAGTGGAGACGCTTGTTAAGCGAAAGCGAAAGTGGCTAGACTGTGAATGATTTGGAAGTTTCATATGTGATATGATTTCTTAAGAATGTGTACAAAGTACGAAGTAGACTGTAGATAATAGTACCCCTTTCGGCAAAGAGTTAATTTACTCCAGACTAGAAGTTTATTATCGCTCCCAAACCCAATATACATAGACGTTGGATATAGTAAATAGTTGGTCTGAAAATAGGTCCTTTGGATCCTATTCTGCCTGAATTGTGAGGTGCACCCAATTGAGCCCTTCTGCCTTGACACCTGGTTTTATCTACCGCCCTTTTCACCGCTCTTTTATCAAGCCCTTATTGTGGCAAGATATAGTACTCCGTAGGTACCTGCCCTTTATAAAAAAACAGCTAATAAGAATAAGTCACTATCTGAATAGGCAGAGAAAAAAATGAAGTGGCAGAATTGAAAGTCTGACTAAATTTGGAAGGCGGTACTTTGAATTCAGCGAGGACAAAGGGGTGTTATCAAACCTATACATGTACTCCGCATATGTATATTGTACCTACTTTTACCTGTTTTTGTCTTTCTATCCTTCTCTGAGAAATCAAAGAAAAACTGCATTGTGGAAAGTCAGAGTCTAACTTGTTTCAAGCCTTGGAGTCCTCGCTCTGGCTTACATGCGATATACAATCCATCACAGTGAACTATTAGTATTAGCCCCGATTCCAACCTCTTCACATTCATTTCAAGAGAATGCGCTCGGCATATCCATTCGAGTTAAGAACTACGTTGCACGAGGACCCGGCCCGTCATGGACTGCTTCATTTAGTCTACAGAGACTGCCCAGTGAAAAACACTGGCCATTCCATAGTGGAGAATGCCACGGCAGCTGCTCCACAGCCTCAGTGCGAGGTGCTTTGTTTTTTTTTCCATCTAGCTCCGTGCAAATGACTAGAAACACAAAATCCTGGTCTCGTACTTGGAAAGGATCTCCCGAGCATCTAATCTCCTGTGCTGATCATTGTCTCAAATGTTATGGGCAACGGCGCAACCGCACACCCGCACGGGCCCCTCTGACAGACAACGTCTTTCTCCATATCCAGAACATCTTTACTGCTTTAGGCAGCTATACGGGATCGATCTTTACCAAGAATGTGTGCAACGATGAACCAGCCACAAAACTGCCTACAATGCACGTATTACCAACGCTCTAGCGCAAGGACTAGCACAAATGGGGAGAGATCGATGCACGAGATGCCCCGTGCTGAGCATAGCTTCAACGGCTTAGACCTACTTTGGTCTAGGCTTGCAGAATTGTCGTGGGGTCTTGTAAGCTGAAGGTAGCCTTTTGGCCAATGCCCTTTTGGCCCCTTACTACAATGTGCTTTTTAATGCGAATGGCCATTGGTAGTTTATTTCCGGGGCCGTTTCCCTCCCTCGGCCAGAAAGAGGGGGTTTCATCTTCTATGCTTCTCTAAATTCGCCATGGGTCTTGCGGAAAAAGTCCTGTCACTGGTGACGGTGACCAATGCCATTTTGGGACTCGTCGCCTATATCGCGCTCAAGTTTACCTGGCAAGTTATTTACTACCGCTTCTTCAGTCCGCTCGCGAAATTCCCCGGTCCTTTCTGGGGCTCTGTAACTCGTCTTTGGATCGCATGGCATAATCTGCTGGATACTGAGGTACCGACTGTTTATGCGCTTGCTAAAAAACATGGTTGGTCTTGATTCTACCTCCAAAAGGAATGTTCCTAACTCAATCCTCTCAGGCCCTGTTGTTCGCATCACCCCCACATTGTTGCTGGTCAACGATCACGAAAAGCTCCCAGAAATCTACCACCGCAATGCAGACAAGACTGGGCACTATATCACTGGCAGCTTCGGCGAGACCGAGTCCCTGTTCAACATGAGATCTCACAAGACCCATGCGGTGTTCAGGAAGCACGTTGCTGGACCGGTATGATGATACGCGAATTCAGTCGCAGGCATCAAACACTGACACCCAACATAGTACAGCTTCAGCAACATCAAAAAGATGGAGCCATTGGTTGATACGCGCATCACCGCATGGACCAAAAAGCTCACGGAAAAGTTCGTGAAGACCGGCGAAGCCTTCGACTTCTCCTGGTGGGCAGTGTAAGTAGCATGAGTCAAACGAAACAATACTCCGACTAACAATACAACCAGCTACATGGCCTACGACATCATCAGTGAAATCGGCTTCGGTGAACCCTTCGGCTTCGTCGAAAAAGGCGAAGACATCGGCGGCCTAATCCAAGGCTTCCACGACGGCCTCCCAGCCTTCGGCCTCCTAGCCCGCCTCCACCCCTTCACCTCATGGATAAAAACCACTGCCTTGAAAAAGTACCTCGTCGCCTCACCAGCCGACGACTCGGGCATCGGTGTCTTAATGCGCTTCCGCGACCGACTCATCGATCAGCGTATCAAGGACATCCAGAACGGCAAGAAAATCGACCAAACAGACCTGCTCCAGACCTTCCTCGAGGCTCGCACTGAAGAAGGCAAACCCCTAGATCTGGAGTACATCCGCGCGGAGGTCCTACTCGTCCTGCTCGCCGGCGCAGACACAACCGGCACCGCCTTCCAGGCCATGGTGCAGTTCCTCATGACGCACCCGGAGGCGTACGAGCGTATGATGGCGGAAATCGATAACGCAGTCCGTAAGGGCCTCATCTCTGATATGCCACAGTACAATGAGGTCATAGAGCATCTGCCTTTCTATGTTGGCTGTGTGAAGGAGACAATGCGTTTGTGTCCGTCTGCGCCGAATATCTTCCCCCGCTATGTCGCCGAGCCGGGGATTGAGCTCTATGGTCGCTTTGTACCGGCTGGTACCGAGGTTAGCTGCAACCCGTACCTTGTACATCGGGATCCGAGGCTTTATGGGGATGATGCTGAGGAGTTTAAGCCTGAGAGGTGGTTGGATGCCGAGAAGGCGAAGTTGTACAATAAGTATAACTTTTCGTTTGGGTATGGGTCGCGTATCTGTTTGGGGAGGGATATTGCTATGATGGAGTTGTTCAAGGGTCCTTTGCAGGTGAGTTCTTTTCGGTCCTGTGAGATGATCATTCTGGGTTACTAATGCGTTGTTTAGTTCTTCCGTAAATACAAGCCGGAGACTGTGAAGGGTAAGCCTGAGGCTCAGTTCATGATCAAAGGTGGCATTGGGTACTGGAGAGACTTGTGGTTGACCATCTCTCCCCGGCCAGAGGTAAAGGCAGAGTGAAAACTGAGCTTTGGAGGGAATACACACATTAGACCTGAAGATAATTAGGCCGTTTTACAAAAAAAGAAGAGTGCATTCCAATTTTCAAAGGATTCAACTTGATATGCAGGTAGCGAACTCAGGCATAGGTTGCAGCCCCTGAAACATGATGATAAGCACAGTGTATGGAAGGATCTGACCCTTTGAGGTCGCTGGTCACTTCGTAACGTGATGTTTTGATATAGCGTTGGATCCATGCTCTGTATCAGCCATAACGAGACTTGCTCAGATAGATCCATCCATTTTATTGCAATGGGGCCATATTCGACGGGTCGTTTCATGGTTGCATCGAGGAGACGGTGGAGGTTGAGGGGACGGAGGTATTTATCGACAGCATCAAACCATTCGTGGTTGCTTGATGCGCCTGGTTCAGCCTTGATGCCGGCTGCACTGGTCGCTTGGGTTTCACTGTCACTCATCGTGCTAAGATAAGAAAGGTTGTGTTAGTGAAGTCCCTCGAAATATGGATAAGCAGGTGGGGACCTTACAGCTTGGTAAGATGAAAGGTTCAGTTGGAAGTCAGGTTAGAGGAGAGATGATGATCAAGGTATCTGTGGATGTCAGTACCACCTAGCAAGAAGGTGAGGTGGTAAAAGAAGAGAATGAAAAAAAGAAGAAGAGAAGAGACCAAGGAGATATGAAGGAAACCAAGAAGGATCAGAAGTAAAAGAAGAAGTCTGGATGTGAAGAAATGTATGGATGTGGATGATAATTAAGACGGAAAGCATCAAAGAAAAGTCATCGACCCATAACACAAGCAGAACGGCACTTGGGATGGTGGATGGTCAACCTAGCACGCATTTCAAGGCAGAGCAAGGAAGATTTTATCTCTAATCCCTTAAGATGCCACAAATGACAAGAATATCTCTACAGAACAACAAGATGCATCAATAAGACAAGGACAGGGTGTAATGTGGAATACAATAGAATTGACCAAAATGGAAATTTATGTAGATGAGAAATATCGTATGAACACGAGAAGCAAGATGCAAATCAGGACATGTTTTGTTAGAAGCTTTTTAGTATGTAACCCGCTCACCCAGTGCAAGAACATGGAACATGGAACATGATATGGCGTCAAATATGGAAGATAGAGAGAGGAGCCCGAGATATTCATGATGCATATATCATTCATTCAGCAGTACCCATGACGGCATCCTAAACACAAAGACAATAAAAGTTAGTAATGGAGCTAGAAAGAAAGAATATAACCAAGATATTTGCTTACCCTTGCCTCATGGTACAAGGGAGTGATACCAGTCCAGTGAACGAACTGGTGCACACCTTGTCCAACAAGGACCTCCAGTCCAGGAATGGTGCTCCAACCCGCATCAGATGCAAGCTGCATCAAGGCGGTGACAGTAGGCTTGTAGGCCATCTCAAGGAGAACACGGGGCTTGCTAGACTCGGAAGTACCGTCGATCTCCTGAGCGCGCTTGAACATGTGGGAGAGAGTCTCGCGCATGGCAGGGTCGATGGGACAGTCAGCGGGGATGGTGCCGATAGCGACCTGGGGAACGGTGTCAAGCTGGGCCTGGTTGTCTACAACGCGGATGTTGTAGTTGGTCGGGAAGGTCGAGGCCATGCCCTCGAGCTTGCTGGCAGTGCGGCCCACCACGTAGATCGGGGAGAAGCCCATGTTGTGGAGGGCGAAGATGGCAGCACGGGCAGTACCGCCACCACCGATGACCACGGCACTTTCCTTGCCAGTGGAACCGTAGACACCTGCATTGCGCATACATTGGACCATGCCTTGCCAGTCGGTGTTGTAACCAATCAGACGAGGGGGGTTGTCGCCGTTGGGGACGGGCACGACAGTGTTGACGGCGCCGATGATTTCAGCCTCCTGGGCGACTTCGTCGAGCAGGGGCATGATGTCCAACTTGAGGGGGATTGTCACCGAGGCACCACCGAAGTCGGGGGCGCGGATGAAGTCCTTAACGTCTTCGACATTGGTAGTCTCCAGGCGGGAGTACTCGTGGGGAAGACCCATTGTGCTGAAAAGGGTGTTGTGAAGAGCAGGAGACCGCGAGCCCGAGACGGGGGAACCGAAGATGGCAAACTTCTTGGCCTTGATCTCACCCATTAGGGAGAGACCACGGCGAATCTCTGCAGCGGACAGCTGACCAGGTGCTGCCTTGAAAGGAAGGCTGGGGTGAGACACCGGGGTCATGAAGCCGTTCAGGATACGGCTGAGCTGACCACTGTCGCCCATGTTGATCGCAATCAACGGGACATCGTGGGCTTCTTCAGCCCATGTTTTGAACTTCCGAAGGGCAGTGTTATCATCAAGGGTATTGGCAACACCGACGAGCTTGATCACATCACCGTACTCCAGAGCACGGTTGTAGGATTGCATCCAAGACATGTTGGACCACGACAAAGTGCCCTTAGGATCATGGTGCGAGGCGATAATCTTAGAGTAACCCTTCATCTCAGTAACGGCACGGAGCATTGCATCTGGGAAGGCGATCTCAAGATCCACAAATTCGCAGCCAGAACGGAACGCTAGTCGGTACAACTGCATCGCCGCATCATGAGCGTCATCGGGGAAGCGGCCACCTTGGCTCTTGGTGCGGATGGTGAAGATGAGCGGCAGGGTGGTACGACGACGAAGGAGAGACATTTGCTCGTTGACGTAGTCAACCGAGGGAATATCGCCGTCAGCTGAAGGGTCCTTCAACAGATCCACTCGCAGTTCGACAGCGTCAGACCCGACACAAGCTTCAGTGATAATATCACCCGACGGTTGGAGATCAGGCAGAGTCAATGAGACGAAGAAGCTGTGCTTCTTCTTCTTAATGATACTAAGGCTGTCTACTTGGCCAGTGACCACCCGCATGAAGCGGGTAAAGTCCTCTGAGGCAAGGGCCAGATCCGTTGAGGTGGAGTGCTGGCTGAAGTACTGGATGTTACTGCACTCTTGGAACCAAGGCTTACGTCGTAGCCACACGCCCATCATGTCCTCCACATAGGCAGGGCGAGTCTTATCAATCTGAAGGAAGTCCATCACGAGCTTAATGTCGCGCATGATGAGGAGCACGTTGCCCTTGCTCTTGTGGTAGTCTGTAAGCAGCTTCCGTGCCTCGGGCATTTCGACAACACCTCCGCCGCAGGCGAAGACGTAGCCGGTAGGATGGTCCTTAATGACGCGTCGAAGGACAGCGAGTTCTGCGTCTCTGAATCCCTCCCAACCGCGTGTCTTGATAATATCGGGGATAGTCATACCCTCGGAAGTCTCAAGCTCTGTGTCAAGATCGATGAATCGACGATCAAGGGCCTTAGCAACCCAGTTGCCGGCGGTGGTCTTCCCAGCGCCGCGCATACCGATGATGAAGACAGAGGCGCTGCTGCGCTTTTCATCGCTCGAGGAAGCATGCTCAGCTTCCTTCAATTCTTTACCATTGAGGTTCACGCTAAACATTTGCTTCAAGGCGTCCCACCAGCCAGGCCAGGTCTTACCAACACACTCTTTCTCCAGAATAAGGGTAGACTGGGGAGCGATAAGAGAAAGGACACTGAAACTGAACGCGACCCGGTGATCATCGTAACAGAAAACACCACCGGATGGCTGGCGAAGGGTAGAACGCTCGATGCCGTCGATCTCAAGACCGTCGTCATGCTCACGGCACACCACCCCGAATTTAGCCAATTCGTCTTTCATAGCCTTGATACGGTTACATTCCTTGACACGCTGGTTTGCGATACCGTAGATACGAGTTGTGTGATTTGAGCCCTTGCCTCGGGCAACAGCCGCGAGAACGGAGGCTGTAAGGAAGGCATCTGTCATGGGCTCCATGTCAACATTAGGCAGCGGCTGCAAAACGCCATCAGTAGGTCCGGTAACAGTGGTGGAAGAATCCGTCTGTACAACAGAGCAGCCCATAGGCCTTAGGACGTCCACTGCGAAGCGAGCATCGCCCTGAAGGGACTTGGAGCCAATGTTAGGGACGGTGCAGGTGGTGCCAGTGACAGCAGCGATCGCCAAAGGATAAGTCGCAGAGCTTGCATCGCTCTCCACAACATATTCGGCAGGGTTCACGTAGTGAGCTTGAGGAATGTGGTAGGTGTGCTCTTCGGTGGTAGACTTCTTCACGTCGATGCCGAAAGATCTCATCATCGCAGTGGTCATGTCGATATAAGGCTGTGAAATGGGCTTACCACCGACCAGCTTCAAAGTCACTGGCTCCTTGGCGTACGGAGCGCACATGAGCAGTGAAGAGACGTACTGAGAAGAAACTTTAGCGGCCAGGTTGATCTTTCCTCCCGCGAAGCCTCCAGAAGCGGCGATCTTGAGAGGAAGACATCCCTTGCTTTCCATGTACTCGACACCAGCACCATTGACGGTAAGAGCGTCAACAAGATCACCAATGGGCCTTTGCTTCATGCGGTTGTTGCCGGTCAAGACACTCGAGTCGACACTGCTGGGAGTAGCGAGTGTAGCCACGGTGGTGAGGAATCGCGAGGCAGTACCGGCGTTACCCAAGTACAGAGGAGAAGGACTTGCGATAATCTTTCCGCCTTTGCCGTTCACAACAAGGACCTCACCTTCCTCCTCCCAAGAGAAAGTTGCCGCACCGAGTCGCTCTAGGGCATTCAACATGACCTCAGTGTCGTCGGAGTGCAAGAGATTCTTGATGCGGCAGGTTCCAGAACCAAGCGCAGCAAGCACAAGGGCACGGTTGGAGATACTCTTCGATCCGGGGGGCGCGCAAGTGACATTGAGTGACTTGGGCACTCCGGGGTGAACCTCAACGCTGGGAGCAAGGACGACACCAATATCCTCATTAGAGACGACACTGGCCTTTGGCTCGTGAGTGCGGCCAATTGCCGACAAGAGCACAACCTTTTTCTTCGGGCCATCATTTTTCTTGTCCAAGGCCATGTTGAATAGCAATTGGTCTACAGAGCAGTGCTTACCAGCAGTCAACTTACGGACCCGAGGATCTTTCATGGAAGTGGGCAAGCCGTATGCCGAGATGCACTTTACCACGCGAGCGACGGCGACACCCTTCAGGATGCCCAAATGTCTCGCAAGCTCTGCTTCCTTAACCATGCCGATTGCGACACATTCGCCGTGAAGAATCTGAGGGGTAAGGATTGCCTCAATGGCATGTCCAATAGAATGACCCCAGTTGAGCAGGTTGCGAAGGCCGCCCTCACGCTCATCTGCGGAGACAACAAAGGCCTTGTGACGTGCCGACGCCAGGATTCTAGCCTTCAGGATATCCCGGATGCCGTCGAAGCGACCTTGGTCAGCCTTCGGCTCGCTGCGCACAGCAGCCAAGATTAAATCTGCATTATCTTCCAAGGCAGTGAACTCTTCTTCACTTGAGATGGCAGCAGTCTTAATGACCTCGGCCATACCATTGATGAACTCTCGGACGGGGAGAGTCTCGAGGAACTCAAGATCAATGTAGATTCTCGATGGCTGCCAGATAGAACCAATCAGGTTCTTACCAAGCGGAGTGTCAATAGCCGTCTTTCCTCCGATTGAGGAGTCCACCATGGCAAGGAGCGTGGTCGGGACCTGCACGAAGCGCACACCTCGCATGTAGGTTGCTGCAACAAATCCAGTCAAATCCCCAATTACACCACCACCCAACGCAATGATCACTGTGTCTCTACCACATGGTGGGTTCTGGCTCAGCATCCAATCTTCGATGTCGGCCTTGGTCTGCCGTGACTTGGAGCTTTCTCCGGGGGCTGCATTGTGGATGAGGAGCCGTGGGGCTGGGGTGATGGAAGCAGCGGCAGCCTCAAATGTCTTTTGGAAAGTGGGGGTATAAAGAGAACCGAGGTTGGTATCGGTGATGAGAACGTAGGTCGTCGAGGACAAGCCATTGATCAGGTCCTTTGCGACAAAATTGCGCCAAAGGCCAAAATCAGCGACAATGCTCTCCTGGCCCAAGATGCTGATCTTGGTGGGTTCGGACATTTTGGAGGAGGATAGAGACGAGGACTCGGTAATGGAAAAAGTTCAATAACTGCTCATTTCATTCTGTGACTTGTTAGTACCCTGACTCACAGTGCTGTACTTTATCTGTTCCCCCCCCCACAATGAATCTAGGGATACATGGTGCACAATAGTTTGGAGGAAAGTGACAGATTAAAGGAGATTGACCAACCTGGACAGAGCTGATCCTAGAGCCAATAGTGTATCAAAAGGAAATAATCACCAAGTCAAGAACCAACAAGACAAAGGAAAAAGAGTACTGTTTCCCCCTCCGGTGTCGCGGGCAGTTTCTTGACCGCCCGGTGACTCAATCTGTCGATCTATACAGACACACCCTTGAACAATTTACACACGATTTATATCATACAGATAGGTACTCATATCTGCCAATTTCTCTGGTACTAGCTTAAATGAATCTCAATTTAGACTATGGAATCAACATGTTCTCCAAAAAAAAAATGCCAGATTCCACATCTTAACCTCAATTTTCAACTTGGCCGACATCGCCTGCTTTGAACGCTAACCCTACAAATAACCGAAACTGTCCTGGGGGTTCAATCTTCTGTCAGATCAATTTCGATTATCGAGTCCAACTCGATTACGTTGCTCGAGTTGACTGCATCCAACTGGTCTGGCGAGTTCGAAGTACCTGCCAGTTCCGAATTGAACGCCGCCTGGATACGTTCATTCGATCCTGTGTTGTGAACTCTGGATGGTCGAGTCCTGTTTTTGGAAACACCATTATTCCGCCAGCTGATTTGCGTCCTTGGAGCGGCCTGGGAATGTTTGCCGGAGTGCTTTACTCCGGGGCCAATGTCTCCGCCAGGGCCAGCCTCTTCTACACGGCCGGTCTCCCCAGCGATCTGGTTGCTCATTTGAGCACAGTGGCTGGCAAGCTGGCCAAGAGGCTGGTTTTTGGCAATGGTCTCCCCAATGCATCTCCCTCCAATTATCTTGGTATATTGCTCGATCAGCCCATCGATACCAGCGAACTGGGTACTGCCATTTCCATCTTTCTGAGCTTCGTCAGACTCGACTGAGAGCTGGACCTGTTGAAATTGCTCGCATAGTTTGCCAGCAAATTGATATAGCATCTCACGAGTGCCGGTGTAATCACTGATGGCTCCTTCTTTAGGTGAACCGATCTTGTCGCCGCCCGAGGTAACCGGAAGCGCATGCTCGGGCTCAAGTGCGGTTGTGGAGGTCAATGCTGTTGGTGGCTCTTCAATCCTGTTGGCAGATACGGGAGATGGAATATTAAGTCTGTCAGTACTAGGTTCGCGGTGCCATTTCACTGGCATTGCAGCACGTGGTGGCATAGTATACCGTGCCTGTGATTTCCGCACATTTCGCCCCCGAAGAATAATGCATCTTGCATGCAAAAAGTCGTATGCATCAAGCTTCGGTGGAATCGTGTCGAGATTGCTGCGGGGAAATAGTGTCGGGACCACACGCATGAGCTGAGTTATACACCAGCTCGCGAACACCAAATGAAATATACTTTGAGTGACATTCTGCACACCGATTTGTGGGGGCACAGGAGCTGTCATGGCATCCATAAACATAGTTGCTCGTCGCCAAAGTTTCTCAAAATCCACAACTACCTGCTCTTTTTTGACGAAGTCCGACCATATGGTTACAATTCTCCGAGTTTCCGCGTTATCATACCATAATGCGTCGATCTCCTGTGTTGATGACAAGTTCAAGGCACCAGCAATTCTTGCTGCTGAGAATCGCATCCCTTTGGCCCATCGATAGTCATACAAGATCTCGGGTTCATAAGAGAACGGACGACATAATGCAGACGTTCTAGGCATGATGTACGGGCGAGGCTCGATGGAAGAAGATTGAGTTGTCTCCTTTAGTGAGCATGGGTAGAAGAGTGAAAGAGAAGTCCAAGTTGATGCGAAGGGTTTAAATAGGCACTATAGCTTGTTTGCTTTGCGAAGATGAACCTAATGATTAGAAGGTCTTCTGATCTTCTGATCTCCTAGGGTTTTGTGATGCCCACAAACATTCCAGTGTTGTAAACTATAGGACTTTGTAGCAAGCGCTTTCCAAGCCCTTTCCATGGCTGTTAGCCGTTAGGTTTCAAAAACGCACATCGCATCAAGACCTTGATGTATGATGATACATCCATCCATCGTATATCTAGTTTACCTGGGGATGTCGTAAGGTTGTACATACATAATTACATGTTTCCCTGTCGGACATGTTAGAGAACTGTGCAGGTAGTAGCATTATGTGTGTGCAGCAACAAAGGTTATCCATAGAAAAGTCTCTTGCACAAAGTATGAAAATATCTTAAAAGACTACTAAAAAGACTACACAAGGCCACATGCGTGGCCGTCTACTCTTGTGTACTTAAATCGTTATCCCTGGATTGTCCTTCCCATATAATGTCTATGAGCGAGGAACGAGAGATGTTAAAATGACGTGAACTAATCTTTTATATCGGATGTCATCACCCGAGAACCCTACTACTCCCCTAGTAGATATAAAAAAGCCAAGGGGCAACACATGGAGAGGAAATGAACCAGTGGAACGCAGCTACCTTTTCAAGCCTTGGCCTTTGGGGATCACACCGTGAATCAATTGAATCTTTTTTCGCCTGTCTATTTACACATGGCACATGTCCATCACTCATCTTCCTCCTCCTCATCGTCGTCCTCAGCCTCTGATACTTCCTCCCCGAGCTCCTTGAGCCGTTTCTAATAATTGTTAGTCAGATTTTCAAGAGGCAAGAACAGCCTAGGGATGTATCAAGCTAATAAACGTACCTTGTCCTCCGTTCGCTTAGCCTCAAGGTCTCCAAAGACAATCAGCAGGTCTTCCAGTTCAGACTGGGCCGATTGGCGAGCTTCCTCTTTTTCTTTGGCATCAGATTTAGCCTTGTCGAGCTGGGCCTGGACGCTTTTGAGGGCTTCGGCTGCACTGCGAGCGTGGGACTCGGCCTCCCTGGCCTTTTCCTCGGCCTCTTTAGCTCGTTCTTCCAGCGCCGAGGTCTGGGATGCGGTGCCTTCTTGGGCTGTTTCAAGATCATTGCTAGACTTCTGGGCCTCGGCAAGGTCTGATTCCCGAGCTGCAAGATGTTGCTTTAGAGTTGCGATCTCAGTTTCATGCTCTTTTTTGGCTGCGGCGAGATTCAACTCGAGAGCCCCGACTGTATTATCGTGCCCAGTGGATTCAGTCTCATATTGTTGCTTGGCCGTAGAGAACTCTGACTCCAAGGTTTCAAGCTTGCTCTTGTAGTCACCGACTTCCGCTTCGTGCTTTTGCTTGGTTGCCGCCAACGTAGATTCCACGCTCTGTAACCTTTTGGTAAGATCGGCAACTTCTCCATCATGGGTTCCCTTGATGCTTTCATAGACCTTGATTCTCTTGTTGAGGTCGGCCAGCTGCCCATCATTGGCTTTCTTGGTGTTTTCTAGGTCCTGAATCTTCTTTTCAAGACCGGCAACTTGTCCACTGTGGGCCTTGTTGGACTGGCTGATGGTGTTCTGCAACTCCTGGATCTTCTTGTTGGATTTATCAGCTTGATCACTGTGGGATTTCTTGTTGCTTTCTAGATCCTTAATCTTCTTTTGAAGATCAGTGACCTGTACACTGTGAGCCTCATTGGACTGGCTGATGGTAGTTCCCAATTCCTGGAGTTTCTTATTGAGGTTGACAACTTCTCCTGTATGTTGTTCCTGGATGCGAGAAAGCTCTGATTCTAAGCCACGAATGGTTTGCTGTAGAGCAGAAACCTCTCGCTCATGGTGCTCTCTCACTTCCTTTGCTTTGTTGCTCTTGCTTTCAGATTCCGCCGAAGTCTGCTTGAGTTCATGGTCGATGGCACGGAGCTGCTCATTATGCTGCTTGAGTAACTCGTTCTTGGAATGCCTATGTTCATTTTCGAGCTTCGATAGCTGTTTTGATAGCTCCTGCGCATGGCTTTGCTCTAAAGATTGGTTGGTTTGTTGAAGCTTTGACAATTCAATGGCGTTGGATTCCTTTGTCTTTCGGTGGTCCAACTGTTCTTGATCAAGCCTTCGTTGGATGCTAACGAGATCGGACTCCAATGTTTGAAGGGTCTGGGTGCGATCTTCAATTTCTGCGCGCAATGAATCAACAAGCTCACGCGAAATTCCCTTTTCGACGCCATTGGCAACAACAGAGATCTCAAACCCAGGTTCGCGGTCAATGGCACGAAGTAATCGGCTAAAGTTATCTTTAAGAAACTCAACGAATGAGCGGTCAAAAAACACCTCCGGCAGTCCACCCTCGAGCTGACCACCAGCGGTTTGAGGAAGGACCTCAAAGTCGCGAACTAATGGACATTCTCGAAGTCTTGTGATCTTGTCGATATATTGTTCCCTGCCAAGCTGCTCAATGAGTAGTTTGTGGAGCGTGACGCGAGGGATCGGGGAGTCTTTGGTGGAGAACTCATATATGACACCCAACAGCACGGTGCAAAGGCCGGGCACCAATTTACTAGGGGCGCGCTGGTGCTTGATTTCCTGCAACAAGGTTTGGATGCAGCTACCCTCCCCAAGAAGATCATTCACGACGTCTGGGTCCTCAAAAAGCCAACCACAGAGCAACATCAGATAACCGACGGTGATTCTTTCATCATCGCCGCGCTGTAGACCAGTAATCAGGTTTCCAACGACAGATTGGACACTAGTGACCACTTCTTCGCCGCTCTCAGCATCGCCCTCAGTGACACCCATAGCTATTGCCTTCGCCTCTGCATCATCGAAGAGCAAATGGAACATCAGAACACAGGCCATCCACACTTGATACGGATCGGCATTGCCGCGCGCTTCGGGTGCAGTGAGCAGTACAGATAGAATATTGGGAATCCGATCCTGCCCGCTGGTGTGCCCTTCAATTGCCCGCCTTAGAACGTGCATGCGAATTCCAGGATGATTGGCGAAAAACGCTTTCATACATTCGCAGGCAGCAAGTCGTGCATCCAAGAGGCTGTTGGGAGCAGGTTCGAGGCTGAGCTTTAGAAATGCCTCAATGACATTGATGCGTAAAGGTTCATTCGCATCACCATTGACAGCCTTGTCGCCGCGGGGGTAGGAACCCCACAGGACTTCGATGTCACCGAATCTTTCCTGTAACGGCGAATTGCCGCGAATCAGATCGGCACAAGTTGACAAGGCCTAGGCTTGTTAGTAATAAATACGGACAAACAATGTTAATATCAACATCTCACCTTTGAGGTCACACTGACACTGAACCTCTGACCGAATGCAATGCTAAGAACTTGTTCTGTTACGCCATTCTGCCAGAATGCAGTCTGGTTAATGGGTGTGCTCATGCCGCCGCGAATCAAGAACAACTGAATGATTGCCAACAGGCCCCAGACATTCTTATCTCGGTGGACTAGAGTCCACTGTGGCGCTGGCTCGTTGTCTTCTGGCTCCTGCTGACATTCATGAAGCAACTGTGTTACCCTTTTCACACAACCGGTCTCGCGGAAAAACGATTGGTTGGAAACATTGAACCTCAACAGGTGAGCCAACAAGGAGAGGCAGTCTTCCACTACCTCGGTCCCATGAGTCAATGCTCCCTCGGCTTCGATAAGAGAAAAAAGTATTTCGAATGCATTCTCGAATGCCACAAGCTTTTGCAACTCTTCTGAGGCGGGGGTCAGGGCAATCAACAAGACGAGAGCCTCTAGAGAATGAAGAAAACAGTTTGTCAGCCCCAATATTTCATGTCCCACCTGGATGCAATTGTTCAACAAGACATACCGTTTCGTACTGGTTCTCTCGGATCTGTCAGCACACTGACTAGTTTGGAAATACCTAGCGGCGCTGTAAAAATGCATTCTTGTGTTCTTTCCGGTCGTGCGCTGCAAATGTGCGAAATCAATTGGAGTGAATAGAGGCGGGAGTAAAATTCACGGGCTTCCAAAAGGTTGAGTAGGGTAGTTATGTTGTCTTGTCGCTTTAGAAATGTCAGTCCATCATTTCGGGACCGAGGTCACGATGCGTACCTGAGTGAATTCATCTGCCAGCCATAGAGCTATTTCGTCCGACGCTTCAGGCTAAGTATATATATGAGTAACGCGAGTGCAATTATTCAGAGTACAAGATACCCACACTAGATTCATCAGGCGTGAAGAGCATCAAAAGGGTCTCGAGGACCACTTTGATTGTGTCCACATCCTCACTGTCGTTGCGTAGACTGCTGATCAATGACCGCAGACCACCAGAAGCGACTGATGCAGGGTAAACTTTTGCAAAACTTCTTAATCCTTGGATTGCTGCGCGACGATCTTCCAACAATGTAGCACTCTGCAGTCTACTGCTTAATATGTCGATTGTGTCCGTAGCCGTTTGTTTGGCCGGAGCTTGCGACTCGAGGATTCGGAACATCGTAGTTGATTCGCAATATCATGGTCATTGCCAGCCGACGCCGTAGGAATTGGTAGTCATCTATGAGAGAGCAAAGAGTGAAAAAAAGTGAAGAGGTTGGTTCGCTGATTGCAGTAGAAAGCTGTCCTATTGTACTGCCAAAGGGGGCTAAACGCCGATCTTGGCTCAACCCGCAGAATCGCCGACCGCCCGGAATTTATCTTTTCGTCAACGGCAAGCTCTTTTTCGCTACTATCAACCTGCACCGCGATCATACCTGCGGTTGCATCTCTTTATTTCTCTATTAAATGCTTCAGAGGAGTCTCTGTTTCATCTGAACTGGCTCATATTGTATCTCGTTCACGAACAGAGAGATCGCGCCTGCGCCTGCACGAACGCCATCAACTGATTGCGACACAACAGTACCGAAACCCCTCCAAATATTGACCTCACCAGTGTCG